AATATGAACGAATGAATATTTTTCTATGTAGCATTCACAATAATAATAAAATATTTTAAATTTAAATCTTTGAGTCGTAAATTAGTGATTTGCGTTTCAAAACATTTCATGACTCGTTCCATTTGTGAACGGTCTTTCCAAGTTTTGTTTTAACATGTACAGATTATTGGAAAATATCCTGTGACCAAATATTATATAAAGGGATAGTTGGGCAGTTTTTGCAGTAGAGCTTTAAAAACAAATGCAACTCCCTTTTTGGCTAGAGGAGATTTTTAATTGCATTTAGTGAATGATATCACAGTGAGATTGACAATAAGAGTCACTGCCAACAAAAAGATGATTATCTGTGGATCTGCCCTGCACAGATGTTTCAGAAGCTCAGCCTCTGTTTCTCAGCCAAATGCATCTAAACGCATCCTTGAGCATTCCCAGTGGGATTATTGGGCCAGGTACCATCCACTGGTCAGGAGAGAGAGTGATAGAGAGAATGAGCCAGAGTGTGTGTGCAGCACAGCCTGCATGTTTTCACATCTCGCGCTGCGTGCTTGAGCAGATTTGCCTTGATAAAAGATAAAGGCTCTTTGATAGGCTGCAGGTGCGCTGCCTTAATGAACATTACCCCTACCCTCTTTTTTTCCTTCTAAAAATGCACCACAGATGCACATCTGCACATCTGTCATTTAATGCTCTGCAGCATCTCCCTAACCTCTCCTCCCTCTCCTCCTTGCCTGTCACTCTCCCCCAGGCTCTCTCTCATGCACACATACACCTCACACACTTCACACATCACACACCGTAGCATTAGAGGAACTGAATCAACGTCACTGCATTTGCTATTCAAAGAAATAGTTTTTCTGCATTGATGCGGCTTATCTGGCTCACTGAGTCTAATTGAGCTGTCCAAAAAAGCTTCCAAACCCCACCCACTCGGGGCATTCCAGGCAGGCTAAAACAAATGCTCATAGAAATGGAGAAAAAATACAGAAATTCACATGCAATTTGGGCGGCTCACAGCCTTTTAGAGGCACACTGGAAAAAGGCAGATGCAAAGGGACTGAGGCAGAAACAGGGATGTTAGGTGTTTGTAGGCACTTGCTTTCCCTGCATTCAGAGCCCAATTTGCCAGAGGAATAGCTTGATGACGTGCATTGTGGCCTGGACAGGAAACATGGGGAGGAATTTGTGGCTTTATATTAAGTGCTGGGACGGTTAGCAGGAAAAGATAACCTGTTTCTGTTGATATAGCAAGGAAGTGTGAATTCTTGGCAAATGTGAGATGTCGTAGAGAGGAACAGGCCGACGATGCCTTCCACGTCTCTGACTGACTGGCTTACTGGAATTTCCCCGAGTTCGCTGTGGTTTTGTTTGGGTGACTGTGAGCTGTAACAGAAAAGGTGTTTCTTGTGCAAGGCACAGTAGAGTTGTATCAGTGTGACCACATTGTGCAGTCTTATCAATGACCCTTTGAACAACTGCCCCTGTTATCAGTGGACATTTTTATGGTGTTCACAAATAAACGGTACAGTTTTAGCAGAAACAATTGTGTAAAAGGAGCCACTTCAAGAGAAATAACATGGACTGATACATTATCTGTCAGGTTATTTGAAAGTTATATGCAAGAGAGAAGAATATGATAAAAATGTGTTAGAGACGAGGCTTCACAAACTGTCCATTCCTGGAATTCATTAAAAAATATTAATCATAGAGACATTTGTCAGACTTTTACAAAGAACATATTGTGGCATTTTTGCATCACAATGTATTGAATTTTAGTATATTGTCCCAACATATCATTTTGCAGTCACCGTGAGTAATTGTTACATCAGTGGGGTGAGATTATACAACTCACTGGCTGAAGAAATAAGAAAATGCCCATGTTGCACTCTAGTAATAAGTAAGAATACTTGTACTTTATTTCTCTTTTTCCCCTTTTTTAGCACTGGTTTGATCACAAAGAACAACCAGATATATTGACTTGTGCTCTGTTCAGCTATCTTATTTACAAAATGTATGAAGTCGCTGGTGTATGGAGACCACATGATATACACTGCCCGGCTGCTTTAATAGTTACACCTGTGTAATTTTTTTTTTTTGCACTTCAATGCAACACTTCTGCTTTAACATCTGTGTTTCTGGAACTCAAAATATTTTAGTCTTTAGTAAAATTGTCAGAAATGTAAAAATTCTATTACATGTTTATTACTGAGGTCATTACTGAGGTGCTGTTGAACTGGTCTACATTATATTCAGAGGTGTTCCTAATATTCTGATCCTCCCATGTATGTAGCTGGGGAGGACAAAAAACTAGATATACTACTAAATATAATGTAGTAAAACACCACCTTTAACTATGACCTCAATGATAATCATATAATTGAATTTATACATTTATGACAATTTCACGGAAAACTGAAACATTTTGAGCTTCATAAACACAGATGTTAAGGTGGAAGTGTTGCACTGAATTGCATACAGTTTACAGGTGTGACTGTTAAAGGGGCTGGGCAGTGCTTTGTCACTAGACAAAATGAAACATATTGTGGCATTTTTGTATCACAATGTATTGAATTTTACTATATTGTCCCATCCCTAAAACATTGAGTCATTTCCTGTTAGTGGTTTGGCAACCTACAATCACTATCCACAGTTATATTATATACCTGTTTAGTTTTTTATCAAAGTTATTGTAGTGTTTAATTTAAAAATAATTACTGTAGCCATTGTAATTACATGAAAGCATTGCAAGTACATTTTCATGATTATGAAAAACAATATACATAGTGTACTGTAAGCTTCTTATGCAAAGTAGTTACAGCTGTTGGAGGCTACTGTACATTGAAATGTACAGTAATTGAAATTGACTGAAAAGTCACACTTCTTCTTGTTCTGTCTCCATTAATCAGTCAACCAGGCAGACACCCAGTCAGCCATTTAGTCAGTAAGTCAGCCAGTCAGCCACCTAGTCAAACAGTCAGTCAGTCTGCTGTTTGGGTAGGGTGGAGGCTCCGTAGACAGGCCCTTTGTCTGAGCAGAGAAGCCCCAGACACAACAGTGGCCGGCCCTGGCCCTCAACACAAAGGCCCACACACTGGGACAATGAGCCAGGCTCAGAGTGGGGGTGGACAGCTCAGCTGAGGTTACTCACCTGCACACTTCAGGACTAGAACCCCCCCCCCAGCCAGCTTTAAAGAGCTGCTGCAGGTGTCTTGCTGTTTGGTGGCATGAGGAGATGGCGGGGAGATGCTGAGCAGTGAAAACACTAATTTGGCTTTTATAGCAGACAGATTAGGGCTCTGCTGCTGGTGTCAATTTTTTTTTTATGCAAAAGAAAATTAAAACTATGATAAGTTCCAATTTGAGCAAAAATAACTTTCTTTTTTAACTAACAAGCTCTCATCACTAAAATAACAAAATCAATAATTAGATAAATGTATTTGAAATACAAATAATTTATAATTGCATATTTATTATAGTTTATTATATCTTTAAGTAATAGGTACAGAAATACACTTACTCAGCTGAATGCATGTTCACCACTAAGCACAGAATATTTTTAAAACATTTGTTTAAATTCCCCAAAATAAATGTAAAACCCAGTTAGTGACAAGGACAAATTTAAGATGAAAATAGATTTTAAAACACACTATACAATTCACATAAGTGTAAAAACACACACTCATATTCAAACACACAAATGCAGATGCTCTGAGGCCAGTAACACAGTTAACTGAGTCATTTGGATGACCGTATATTTTACCTTGCAGCTGAGTATCCTTTTCTGAGCTCCAAGTGCTGATGTGTTTTTCTTTCCATGAAAGCCTTTCCCATAAGTTACTGAATGTTACTGGCTGCAACAAGTGGTCTGCTTTCCTCACTCTCCTTTTCATTGGATGAACAGTGTGTCAGTCATTAGCCCTGCTCAGAAACGCTAGTGGATTCAAATTGGGAATGTCACTACATTGCATCAGGATGCTCCACTCACATAGTTACTGCAAACACACTGCACTTCTGAAAGTGTCTTTTTAACATTAAAAGAATTAGAACAGAAAAAATGATGCAATTTTTTCTGCACTTATTGTCTTATGGTTAGTTTGACAAATGTTTTAATAGACAAAAATCAGTGTATGTGTTACACAAAAGCAATCACAAGCCAGATAGACTAGATTTTCTCTTTTTAATTGATTGCAAGACATTTTATAACCACACATTACAAAATGCACAAATATTTTATCAGGCTCAGTTTGCAATCTTATCAATAAGAAAGAAAAACTACCAAAAATATGCTTTTACAAAATAAGACAATAATAAAGTAAATGCCACTTTGGATAACCATAATCAAAAACCCATTTTTTTATTCTACATAAAAAAAAAGCTTGACATAAATAAGTTAGTATAATTTCTCAGTGTTTTTACAAAAGTATGTACATAGGTACATTGCAAAGATTTACACAAATACACAGGCATGATGATTCTCTCCATCCAGGTGTATACTGGTCTAATAGGACCCACACCCTGGGCAAACAAAGGGAAGCTTTTAGATGCTTACATTTGCATCCTCAGCAGGCTAACAACATCGGTGAAAAAAAGTACAAACATAAAGGGAAATTTAGGTCTAGGTTATCACAATGTAATACAATGTGAAGTCAAATTAAGAAGCACAGGCCATGCTGGCAACCATAGGGAAGCAACCATGTATTTGGTATTGTAGGCCATTCAGCCCTTTTTGGAAAACCTCCTCTCTGAAGAGCATTAAGGGCGAGGAAACAATAGGAATACAGTCAATAGTAGGATAACTTTACAACACAACCTGTGTAATTTGCATGGTCTTTGTCCTTCAGTATCTGAGTACCTCCAGAGGAAATCAAACACACTAGTACAATGTAGCTGAGGTCTGCAGGAGAACTCAAGGGAGGGAAAATTAAAAAAAAAAATGTATTCCAGGATTTAACGGCTTCTAAAAGCACCTATCGCAAAATAAATATTGGGCAATTTAACAAGAGTCCCGTTTTTTCTGTGTCGATTTCCTGGGTTAATGGATCATATAGGAGAACCTGCAATTGATGACAATGAAATGACCAAAAGCTGGAAAAATAAAAACAAATCAATTACATTTGTACTATTCTTCACTGCTGAGTTAGGAAGATGACGGAGTGAAGATACACTGTTAAGAAACTGTAAGAAGCCACGATTTTCTTTTAAATGTAGCAATTAGGGACCATGTCAGAGTCACACTGCCTTTCAGAAAAGAACAAAAACAGCATTTTGGAAATGTATCAAACTGCAATGCAATTCTTCAAGTCAAATCAAAATTCATCCCTTTTACATAAAGGATTTTCAAATCTTTTCTTATGTGCTACATATGGAGGCAAATATAATATATATTTATTTACACACAGGTAGTAAAAAAGGAGCAAAAAAGGAAATTAAACCTAATTGCACACTGCTACATTGACTGCTTTTAGAGGCAGTAACTTTAAAATCAAGTGCCCCAACTTTAGTGTTTCTATTCAGTGCTTCAACAGTGTCCTCCCCCGTCTTCAGGAGAGTTGATATGTTTTTGATGCTGTGTAGTTCTTCTTCAAAAAAAAAAAAAAAAAAAATCAGCCAACACTGAGCTTTCCCAAGCAAAACGGGAAAATACTTCTTCAGCTCTGTGGGATAAAGCAGATGAAAGAAAAACAAACAAGAGGTTAGGACTAATTTTTGACACTGAGCATTGTGCAATAACAACTGAGACAGAACCACTTGTGTACAGTTTCACTCTGCTCCTCTTGTTAATGCCCAACTTAAAGCAGCAAGTGTCCAAAAATATAGCGGGAAACCAGTGAGCACACTGCCACTTGTGCATAAGTGTTCTTTTCTCCTGTTATAGTTTTTGAACAGTATTGATGCAGGAAGTGTTTAACTCATGAATTCTATGTGTGTGTGTGTGTGTGTGTGTGTGTGTGTGTAAAAAAGGCATGTTACATCAGCACGTGCACCGTCTTATTACTTTAAACTAATAATTTATGCAATTTTTTTAGAGCAAGGTCACCACAGGGCAAAAACAACAGCTATCAGGCATGTTACCAAAACCCATATTTAACCACAGAATCATAAAACACCGTCATTTGTACATATTTCACTCTAGTACAACTATTTAACCAATCCTACAGAAAAAGGAACCGGGTTCAGTCTAATACCGAGCCTTGACAGCTCCTGCCACGACAGTGCACGTTTCATGCCTGTCCCCCCCCCCGCTCCCGCGTGGCCAGCGAGCACACGCTCCCCCGGCAGAGACAGATGTGTGTGTTGTAACATTAGTGCGCAGTGCGCGTGTGTGTAAGCACTGACACACACAGAGACCAGCCCCTTCCCGTCCCTGCTCCGCTCCGCGCTGAAGGCAGTGGCTGCTGACGTGTTACTACTACACTGTTGTTCAGCACTTGTTTACAGTTTTAGTCGGAAACTCGGGCACGCCGTGGCAGGCAGCGGTTGTAAAAGCTGGAAATGTGAAGCCACGTTTGTTTCGTTTTCTGTTTTAACTCTAACCTGGCCTGGCATCGAAATAAAGACTGTGTGAAAATACAAGTGGAAGCTTTGGTGGATAAAACCTGCTGCACCCACCGCTTCTACGCCCACTGTCATATTAGTCCAGTACTAAACTAATGGGGCCAACTTTTAACGCGCACACAGGAAAACTAGTCAAATGTCAAAGCCGCATATTTGTTTCAAATCCAAAATAAAATGATTTCATTTGAACTGCAAATATGATGCATTACGAATACCACTGAAATTATACAATAAACATTTTAAAAAATAGATTTTTCTCGGTTTCACGGCCGCATTTCAAGGCAGAAAACAGCTGGAAGACGGGGACGTCGTCTGTTGTTTCGACCCTGGTAAACAACCTGCTCTGGTTCCACCAAGTAAAAGCCCTTAAAAATGTACAAAGTTGTAAAAAGTTGCAAAGCCAAAATAGTTTCTTACCGCCCTTGGTCCTCACGTTTGCCTCTTGGGACTGGTCTTTCTGGGCGTGTGTTCTGTAGAAAGGCTCAGACCTGGACAGCTCACTTCATCTGAGCTGGTGTGTGACCTCTTACTTTGGGCCGGGGGGTCTGCAAAAGCAAAGTCCATCGTTAGTTAAAACCACTGGAAATTATGTCATTTAAGTGCAATGCACCATGTTTAACAATCGCAAACTGCATACTTTTATTATGTTCCAAATGTAAAACCTTCTAAAAGTATTTTCAGTGCACTCCAGACTGATGAGCCGAGCAGCACCACTGTCAGCCCGCAGCCTGGCGCCCTGCTCCACTGACTACAGTCGAGTGAAATTCAAGTAATTCTGTAGGAAATGTGGTACCGTGGCATGCAGCTCTTTTCCTCAGCCCGGTGTACTGCTCCATCTCGGTATCTTCGCTCGGAGCCACCACAACACAGTTATGATTCCCATTTAGATCCACATTGTTATTCCCAGCGGAGCACACGGCCTTCCTCCTCCGCGGCTGCCTGCTGTAGAAATCCGGGATGTCTCTGCAATCCACTAATTCCCACTCGAGCCTGCCGTTGGCCAGCGGTGTGTGATTGGCGAAGTCGAAGCTCCACTTGGCGGAGGCAGCCTCGTCCATCTCCCGCAAGTGTCCCTTTAAATCTCTCTTTAACTCTTCGTGATCCACCGAGCCGAAGAGGCTCCTGCAGGCTGATGGTTTCGGGTGATCCGACACCCGGGGATCCGTCCGCTCCAACGTCGGACTCCCGTTTGAAAGTCGAACATCTGACATTTCCCCCCCAAAGAAAGACAACTTTTTTCAAAACGTCCAGTTTTCACAAGGAAAAAAACACCTCGCAACAACAACGGGTATCTCCTCTTCGCTGAGCAAGATCCAAAACAAGCGTAAAACGACTTATGCCATGCAGACGTCGAGCTGGAAACGATAACGGCCGCGGTGTTTTCTGGTCGAAAGTACTCTCCGCGGATCATCAAAACAAAGTGCACGGGAACCAGAGCCGCGCTGTCAATTTCGTCCCGTAGTGAGAGAAACCTAGGCAAACGTTCTCAGTACCCAATATGGCGATTGAGATATGTACTTCGAATAGAGAGGGGAGTTTGTCTAGGGGGAGAGGAGGGGGTGAATGATTGACACACACGGCTATTTAAATGCGAAAAAAGGCCGCTTATTGGTCGAGGCGCTAAAAGCCCACCCATTTCTCTTAAGGTGGACCAGCTAGTTGCAGCAGGCTGCATAATACCTGGACGTCTGCATAATAATACCGTATTAGTTTTCTTCAAAACAGTCTAAACAGTCTGCTTTAGCTACGGAAATATTACTGAAATTTAAACAGCAACTGCTGGCATGTCTCAAAACGGTTTCAACTCGAATTTGTTTCATTATTGTATGACATCATTTTTCTAAAGTAAACATAATTCATGTAATTTCTGCCAATGAGGGAAAAGTTTAGATTTGGTTTTATCTTATGTTTCACCAAATTACAAGCGATTATTTTTGATAGTTATGACAATTGCTGTCAATTTTAAATATCTGTACATGTGCAATGTTTCTTGAACTGCACCCCAATATAAAAAAGACTAATCTTCAGTGTGAAGATATATTAAATTAAAATAACCCCACAACCATTCCTGCACCTGCAGTTCATGTTTTTATTCTGTAATAGGCCAAATATCTTTTACATTTATAATAAAAAATACAAGTATAAAAATACTAAAATCTCCATTATATGATTTAGAAAAATAAGTTTAGTATTTTTTGAAATGTTAAAAATGAATTTCTTGTAAATATTCCACCTTAAAAAGATGACATTTCTGAAAATCCATAGACCTAAGTTTCAGGGTGTGGGTCCTGTGTTAGAATAGGTATAACCCCCAGTGTCAAAACTACACCTTAGCTATCAAAAACAAATAAATAAAGACAAGTTGAGGTAATGTGTACATTTACAAACTGGTATTTCCACTAGTTATTTGGAGCCGAGTGGGGTAAGTCAAGGTCATCTCACACCAGACCCTGTCCTCATCCCCACTGGCCCCAGGAGAAAAAGAAAAGAACAGATGTACTTGGCCACGCATGTCTCCACATTTCAGTCTGCAAATGCAAAAAAACAACAAACAGAAAAAAACAAAGTATGACAGGCAGAGACCCTGCTTGGTGGATTGTTTTAGTTATTTACACCACAGTGTAAATTTTTTACTTTCATGGAAAATCAAATGCCAGTCTAGAAAGCAATATTTTACTAATTGAAATATCAAATTTACACAATCAAAAAATTATCTAGAGGCAAAATTTGTTTTTGAATTTACTAACATCTCTTTCTTCTGCTTTGGTACAGTTTACACTTTCCATCACCAAGACAAAGGACAGTCACATTAAGACACATGCTGGCCTCTGTTCACATCAAACTGAAAGAAATACAATTTGCTTAAAACAAAACCATAATCAGTTTGCAAGAAATTATGCTATTTTATTTTACTGTTTGCAATTATGTACCTATGGGGTCACACTAGGCTACGTAGTGCAAATGCAGCTGCCCGCAGCACCAGCATAATAACTGAAACAATGGTGCCCCCTAGTGTTCACTTTGCAAAGTGTTTGTGTCAGCACAAAGTAAGACGTAAACAATCATATACAAAATGCTTTTTAATAACTTAGTCTTTGATAAATGTCACATTTGTTCAAGTACACACTTAAATAACAGCCACTGTACTTTACTAAATTCTATGCCTGATACCCAGGATCTTCCAAAATATCAGCCCGTCAGCATTTCCTTACTGACCCTGCTGCCATGGAGTGGCCTACCTTCCCAGTCAGTCTGTTAAAGTAAACCGGTCCTTTTCCAGAGCAGGCTGTCTCAGAGACCAAGCCACCTGATGATGTAGTAGTTCTTTTTGCCTACTCTGAGCAAGGTAAGTCCATTAGACAGGATGTGTATTCTGGGGATGAGCACCTGCTCTGGGTTTTCTATTCGCTTGTGGTTGATCAACACTGCTCCGTCTGAAACCATCTGATACCTGCATGCAAACATGTACGCTGTCAGTCAGTGCAGAGTTTCACCTGTGTAACCTGTCCACATTTTCCACAGTGACCCTGCACTGCTACCAAACACATCACAGACCTTCAAACTGTCATCTATCTTTACATAGTTTGTACTAAATAATGCAAAACATTCATTACTTCTTACTTCCTGCATGGATTTGCTGTTTTAAAACATCACTGTTTTGTGGACATTTTTTTTTCCACAGAATAAAACAGGACATGCTGTCAACAGTTTTCTTTGGAATGCCTTACTTCTGAATGATCGCTATGAAAACTGTATGACTTGATATAACAAGAGGTACGTATATGAGGAAAGTAATTTGGGGATTTGAGTGGACTGACCCTTTTAACTTTCATTCATTCATTTATAGGTTCATATGTTTAACAGTTTTTTATATAAAGCATTTATATACGACTAGGAGTGTCCACCCTGGATCTGATCTTTTTCACAGTGGTGTCAGATAGTAAACAATGCATTGCATTGTGGGATTGATAGAGGGTCTTAAGGTATGTTCACACTACAGCGGAAAAACAGTTTTTGTGCTCTATTGTGAACATAGTTTTACTGGCAAAAGTCACACCAGTAAGACAGCGTGTCCACAAATATTGTCCAGGACAGTGATCTACAATGCGTTATCTGGTGGGTCGAGTTCAGGATAAAATAAGTGTTTTATTACAAGGCTAATAAAGATAGAGATGGAATAGTGCCAGTGCATATGTTAGTGTGGTTTAGAGTTCTAGGCAGTCTGAAATATTAGTTTATTTAAGGGATCTCATGTTTTATGCCATGGCATACGGACAATAACACTAACGCTTCATCATCTGATACTAATGTAACCGTTAAGCTGTTCTTTTTGTATGGTGCATAGCCACAGTGGCTAGTTGAAAACTGTAACGCTAATACAGCATATTAAAAAATATCTTGATCTCATGGAGAATTCCTGAATAAATAAATCAAGATTAACAAACTAATGAGTTACGTTAGAAGCTGCTAATTTAAATCTGAATGGCTTTTTTCCACAGATGGCTTAGTTAATGTGTGGTTATACTAACGCTATGGTTGTCAAATGAATATCAGCTACGTACCATACAAAAACAACAGCTTAACAGTAAGAGACAGAGTGCACAGAGTGCCAATTCCTCTTGCTCAATTGACGTATTGAGTGAAGGTGTCTTTTTGACAATTTGGTCTTTTTACATCAAACTGAAAAATTCCTCAAAGCTGTTGTGTGACAGGATGCACTACCAACAAGGTAAAGAACCCAGAGTGACAGTTTTAAAAGCTGTTGGAAAAAAAACTGAAGCTATAAGACAAAAGTGAGGGATTAGCAGGAAGAGCAGGGACACTCTGGGGATTCTGATACTCGATGTGCCTTTGTAAACAGCAAGCATTTTGTCACTGTTAAATCAAATATCCAAATGTTAGTTTAGGTTACTATATTTCTGTAAATTAGGCTAAATCATCTAGACAGTTTGTCAAATCAATCACTTTATTTTCCCAAGTATGTTAAACACACAAGGGATTTGTCTCTGGTACAGAACTGATGCAGCTGTCCGATTGGGAGACAACCACTACCCTGAGCCACAGTTTGTGTTATAAGTCAGAAAGCTATGCAGTAACATGCTTAGCTAACTACAGTAGCTTGCTAATACACAGCTAACATTTAACAGATAGATTGCCCCATAATCATTTATCAACTGCACCCCAATTTCCCTTTAGATCTGGCTCTATTTTGTAAATAGCCTTCCCTCCAGCTGTTTTAGCAAACTACTGTAGTTAGCTAGTTATAGTGAGTATCAGGATCCCCGTTTCACTGTTGATGCTGCACGTCGTATCCACTTTGTCTTCTTAAAGCTTGTGTTTTATTGGTTGGTAGCTTTAAAAACTTTAACTTTGGGTACTTAGCCTTCTTGGTAGTGCATCCTGTCACACATCAGCTTTTAGGCATTTTTCATTTTTTTTATAAAGAACAAAAAAAGACCAAATTTTCAAAAAGACACCTTCACTCAAAACAACGTCAATGGAGAGCAAGGAATTGTCCCGTTGACATGTTGAGCTCTCTCTCTATGCTACTAGATGATATAGTGTTATCAGTGTCATGACATTAATAGTTAAATCCTTAAATACAAACTGTATTATCTGTGTCTTAAGGCTGTCATTTTGCCAGTGAGCCCCTCAAAATCCCAGAATGCAATGCACTGTTTAATCCCTGACATCACTGTGAGGCAGGGCTACTGGATTTAACACTGGGTTGCCTACCCTCTGGGTCCCTCTGGTATGGCACTGATCCTGCGGCAGGCGTCTATGACAGTGGTCCCTGGCTCCAACAGCAGCTCATGGAAGGGCGCCTCCCTGAAGAGCTCCTGAAGTTCCTCATCACTCATTTCCTCTAAGGCCTGCACACTGCTGTTGTACAGTGCATTGGTACTTCTGCAATGAGAACATTAAATGTGACTTTCCCTCTCAGAATAGGTCATCTGTCTGTTTTTTTTTTTTTTTGTTTTTTTTTTGCAGTAGGTCAGAGGTCACAGGCAGAAACAGCATACTGACTCTGGTGGAGTTCAAGAAGTGGCATCTTCTTCAGTTTATTTTCCAACTGAATTAGTTCCTGCTGCCTTTAATATGGTGACCAAAATAAAATAAGCATTAAACTGTAAGAAATGTTCAATTATATTGATGTTTTAAAAGCATTAAATATCAAATACTTACACACACACACACACAGCCTGATCTTACCTCTTAGCACTCTCAAGGCCCTCCTTTCCATGCACAAGTTTCGTCACCTCTGCAGCCAGCCGTTTGTGTGCGAGGCGTTTCCCTGGATCCTTTCTCTGCTGTTCCATCAGCTTTTCCACCTCCATCAGAGGCAGGAAGGTGAACAGCTTCAGGTATCTGTGAAAATACCACACAATATGCCTGAGCCTCCCAGTACAATGCACAAAATTTCTACATTTACAGTATGTTAGTGTTTTCACACTTGGTTCCTTTTCAAAACAAATTCAGAGCAATTAGTCAGTACTCTCTGGGTATATGCGAACACTCCAAATGAACCCAGACCACTCTGAAAAGGGTCGAGACCGCCCAATGTGGTCTCAGTTCAGTTCGTTTGCTTAATCTGTGCATTGTAAACACAAAGTGCTCCAGGGTTGCTTGGTCCTTTGTCACTGTGTTTTGCCCTCTAGTCTTTTGCATATAAGGCTGGAAACACAAGCAGTCTGTCAAAATATGGAGCAAAAGTCCATCACATACAGGCAGAGAAATGCAGTTTTTTCCCTGCCCACACACAGAGTTAACTGAATTATATGAACATGAGTAAATGATTTAAAAGAACCATGAGCCAGCAGATTGTTATGGGAGTATTCATAAATTCAATCTGCAGTGGTCAAAGCATCATCTAAACTGTCACTCAGAAGTTCACAGTTTCAGTTCAGGGAACTCTGAGCTGGGGCAAATTTAGTTATCTGGGGGCTGGAGGCAGAGTACCACGCCGTCAAATACTGTCAAAGTAAAAGTCCTGCATTCATAGTTTTTTTTTTAGAATTTAAAAATCACATTAAAGTCTAGTGATTTGTTCTTCGGCAGTTTGCTGCTGAAGAATGTTTGCTTTATTTGTTCATACAGTTAAGTTATTTTCTTAATTTTTTTCCCCACTTAACAATAATTAAAAGAACTGGCAAGAGTAGTGTGAAAGTACTGGCTCAATAACACTATCAATAAGAGTAGTAGTACTGTTAAAATATTAACAATACCCATATGGATGAAAGAAGCTATTGCCTTTCTCCAGATATGGACAAAGAACACAACAAACACACAACTGTCTACAACACACAGACAGCCCATGGCTCTCCTCCAGGCTGCAGCTCATATGAGACCAAGGGGATTCATTAGGACCCGCTGCGATGCAAAATCTAAGTGAAAAAACTACATCAAATGTACTTTACCACACACAATGAAATACGATGAAGCAGAGAATCCTTTGACATAAAAGCCACATGCCAAAGCAGTAAAGGTCCCAGAGCTCCAGAGTAACTATAGTACGAACAGAGGACTGAGGTCCCATCGGAGCTGAAGTGAACCAGAAAGAGAACGGAGTCCTCTCTCAAACGCACCCACAATGTGAACACAAAAAGAACTGAGACTGCACCTAAACCAGTCAGACTAGGTGATGGGTTTGCAAAAACCCATCCACACAATGCTTTGAGGTTTTGTCCTGTTAGCTTGGCTTTGTAAACAAGCGTTTGTCCTCACTTACCCTTCCACACTGGTGTCAGGCTGCCTGAGAAAGAACTGGTAGAGTTCAAAGGGAGATGTCTTGTCTCTGTTGAGCCACACTGCGTTACCCGCCGTCTTCCCCAGCTTGTCCCCGACAGAGCTGGTCACCAAGGGAATGGTCAGGCCATACACATCCTCACCGCTCACTCTGGAGAGAGATCAGGATTGCAAGTATTAAAGTGTGTAAGTCCAGTATGGGTATATCAAAACTTGTATATGGATTGGTCCCCACTGTTAGCTGCTGGTGCTTTCTTACATACACCATCATAACACAGGCTACTCAACTCTAAGTGAGGGATGATATGATCATTGTGATTATTGTTTTACTAAACTGTTTTGTTAAAATAAAAACTATGAAACGTTTGTTTTTCTTTTACACGTGTGACACTGAAGACATTTTGAATCAACTCATGGCAAGACATCAAATTACACAACTGGTCAGTGCCTGCAACCTGAAGTGCTGATTAAACTGACAGTAAACTATAAAATGTGAGTCAAGATTCTTATGAATTAGGTGAAACGCTTGTTTGTTTTTTTTCCGAAGGCTTAGTGTTACCTCAGTGGCTAACATTTGGCAGTCACCCACACAAAAATCCTTCTAAACTGAATGTAGAAAGTTTTTAAAGGGGTTTCCTTATTATAAAAAAACAAACAAACATACACAACAAATTGCACAGCAGATACAGAAAGGATCAGTGTGAATCAATTCCTAAAATAATCTTGTGGCCTATTAAAAGTAATTCTGGTCATTTTTGCACGAGGGACTAGAAGTAGTATTGAAAACTAGATCTGGACACACTTTCTCTGTGCACACATTTACCAAGGATCAATAATAGGGATAGGACAATATACTGAAATTCAATATATCATGATATTAAAACATCACAATATGTATCGTTCTGTCTAGTGATATATATTGTGTGGTCTCCATACACCAGTGACTTCATATTTTTTGTAAATAAGATGGCCTAACAGAATGTAAGTCAGAATATCTGGTTGTTCTTTACATAATCAAACCAGTGCTAGAAAACAGGAAAAAAGAATAAAGTACAAGTGTTCCACAGCTAGTCATACATTATCATAGAATTTTTAATTGTATCATGACTGAATCGAATCGTAGACGCCATATTGTGAATTGAATCATATATAGAAAAAGTCACATTGTACCATCCCTAATCAATAACATTTTCAATTAATACAATTCTCAGTGGGATTTGGAACCAAGCCCTGCATAAGACAGACTGGCAGGTCGGAGGACACTCTACTATAGGTGGGATAGAATGCAATGCATTCATGGTAAAAAGAAAGTACACTCTCCTTCAGTTCTGTGTTTTTATTCATCAAGGGCTAAAAAATTAACTACCGTATTGTGTGCACCTCACTAACTTCTGCAAAGAAAAATACAACAGCTTTCCCTATGCAGTTACAGTTTCCCAGAAATATTACAACATTCAGAAACCAGGTGGAAAAATAAGAGTACACCCTTCCTACTTCCACAGTCAGAGTAATTGGCAGCCTGTTGTTACTAATCAAATGCACAGGACAAGTCGGTCAGTAAGAAGTGGGACTACCTCTATAAAAGCAGAACTTTTGGCAGTTTGGCGTTCTTTGCACTGAGGTGTGTGTCTACATCATGCCAAGAACAAAGGCCATCAGCAATGAGAAACAACTGCCACTGCTCAGTCCAGGAAGGCCATCTCCATACAATTTAAAATCCAACATTTTACAGTAAGAAAGCTTGTTTACATAAGGGGAGCCTTCAGGACTGCTGCCAGTCTTTCCAGGAGTGGGCATTCCAGCAAATCCAGTCCAAGGTCAGTGATATAAAGAAAAACCCAAGAACTGCATTAAGTGACCTACAGGCCTCTGCAAGCACATTCAATGTTTATGTTCATGACAGCACAATTAGAAAAAGACTGGACAAGGTTTGCACAAAAAAGTGTCTTGGAAAAAGGCCCCTCTCTCCAAAAAGAGCAGCACAACTTAGGTTCACAAAACTGCATCTGAAGAAACCACAGCAGTTCTGGAACAATGTCCTTTGGACTGAGACCAAAGTGGAGATGTTTGGTTGCCATGCACAGCACCGTGTTTGGTGAAAACCAAACACAGTGTATCACCACAAACACCTCTTAGCACACATGGCGGTGGAGGGCTGATGATTTGGGCTTGTTTTGCAACCACAGGACCTGGGAATCTTCCAGTCACTGAGAAGACAATGAACTCCATCTGATGCCAGAATATTCTTGAGACAAAAGTGAGGCCATCTGTCCAGCAGCTTAAGCTGGGCCAACACTGGGTCATGCAACAATGATCCCACGCACACCAGCAAATCGACATCTAAACGCAACTGTGATGCCGTGGCAGGATCTTCAGAGAGCTGTGCATAAACAAATGCCCTCATACATCAATGAACTGAAGCAATGCTGTAGAGAAGAGTGGACTAAAAGTTCTCCAGATCAATGTGAGAGGCTGATACTCCTACAGAAAACACTCACTTCACGTTGCTGTTGCTAAGGCTGGTTCTACATGGTACTGAATTATAAAGGTGTACTTTTATTTTCCCACATGGCTTCTGAATGATTTTTATATAAGTTGTGTGGAGCACACAACAGCCCCCAATGCAAAAACAAAACAAAAACATGGAACTGAAGGAGGGTGTAGCCTACTTTCTTTTGCCATGCCTGTACATGGCATCACCTGGTGAACTGGGTTAAATCTTACAAACACGAACTTTGTTTCAGGTGGTACAAAAACAAAAGTTGTGCAGGTTTGCTTAACTGAGGAGTGGCTATTAACGATTTACATAAAATAGTTAGTACTGTACATCTATCAAGGATCAAAACTCTCTCCATACAACCTGAAACGATCACCACCACATGTGCCATTTTTAAATAGTATGGGTAGATTAGACTTTCAGACTTACTTGCCAATGTACTCATGGCCAGACATCAAATTGCCAGACTGGTCGGTCCCTCCGAGCTGAATCTTGCAGCCATAGATTTGGTTCAGATGGTAGAAGTCATAAGCTTGGAACGCCTGGTAGGTGAACTCTGTCAGGCTCATGCCGTCTGCGCTCTTCAGCCTGGACCGCACGCTGTGGCGGCTGAGCATGGTGCCCATTCTGAAGTGCCTGCCAGCCTCCGACAGAAACCTCACCACGTTCCAGTTCTTGTACCAGCTCAGGTTGTTCAACACAGTCACGGTGCCCATCTTCACGGAGCTATCGTGAAACAGCAGTTCGTGGTTGGTGAAAATCCTCTCGATGCTCTCCCGGATGCCGCGGGTGTTGGCGTGCACTGCGTCCTCGGACAGACGCTCCCTCTCGCTCGTCTTCCCGCTGGGGTCCCCGATTTGTGCCGTAGCTCCTCCGAGCACAGCGAGGACATGGTGCCCGGCGCTACGGAAGTGCAGCAAGCCGATGATAGCTAGCAAGTTGCCCACATGGAGGCTGTCGGCCGTGGGGTCAAAGCCGCAGTAAACAGTCTGCGCACCGGATTGGAGCAACAGAGGAAGCTCGTCCTGAGCTGCGTTTTCTGGGAAACAATCCTTCAGAATACCGCGTTTATTTAGAGAGAAGAGCAGTCCGTTATGTGCAGACGGAGAACAGTGAAACTTAGACCTCGGTGTGAAATAAAGACGTCTTCCCCGAGGAAGGCACGATACATAACCGCGCCTCCATAACACGGACGCAGCCATGTTGGACAATGTGACAACGAGTCAGAGGAGGAGTTAAGAGGAGACAGGGATCGCTTGTCAGAAGTAGTGCGCCCTCTAGTGGAGTGGTTCTGTGGCACCGGTTTCCTGCATACGCCTGGTGGTTAGTCATTGTCATGTACCACTAGAGCCCCTGACAGAACAAAGGGCCTCCCTGCGTAAATACCTCGTTATCAGGCCCTGTATATCAGAGTCCGTGCTTTAAAATCTAGTTTTAAGACAAATAAAAACCAACACTGAGAAACTGTTACAAAACGCCACCCCTCAAGTATAAGTTAATTATATCTTATGTTGTTTTATTCTTAATTCATTTTATCAGTGGTTGCATGTTTTTATGTCTTGATTAAATCAAGATTTCTTGGTTTAGACAAGTTACAGTTTCACTGCACAACCTAAATCTGAATACAACTGAGTTTGCTTATTGATTCAAAGTTTCAATGTCTCTTTAAGCTGAGATTTCTGATAAAGCCAGTTGCTTTTATACAAGTTAATGAACTATGAGGTATACAAACTGCATTTTGGTCTATCAGTGCAGTTTTTATGCTCTTTTATGGATAGAAATCATATTAGACCTACATGTAATGTCAGAAGATTTCAGATTATAATCAACAAATGATCAATGGTTATCATAGGCATGGTATATATTCTTAACTCACCAAGAAGTAGACATTACAGGAATTCAATAAAAGCTAGGAAAAAGTACTTGCATATGTGTAAAAGCATGGGATCTAAAACATTTTCCAATGCAAGAAAAAAAGATGTAGTTGCAGGTTTGACTGTTGACCAGTAGATGGTGAAATATTTTTGTCTGTGACAGTTTAAAGACACATAAATAAGAAGCCCAGTTTATAAATATTACAGAAAGAGGTTGAATCTCAAATTTGTTTTAACAAACATACAAAATATAGTGGATTTTAAAATCATTTTATTTTGAAATCCATTTAATGTCAACTTATTTCACTGTTTAAATGACTAGATAGACATTCATCAAACATTTACAGTATTGCTACCAAGCCACGGTTCACGTTACCAGCACATCAAAAGTCAGCCTCTGTTGTCTCTTTGCATGACACTATAGCCACAAAAACAAACTCCATCAATCCCAGGGAAATTAAACAAACAAATATCTGATTTCTATGACTGCTGCCTCCTGGTAACATTTTTTTATGTCAGTTTTGGAAAATAAAATTAAAGGTAATATTCATTATTATTATTTATTTGTGTTGTTTCTGTAAGGCAGAGCACTATACACTTATTCCAGAGATAAGAGAATCAGATCAAGAGAAACAGAAGAACAGTACGTTTCTGTCCTGAGCTAGTTCAACAAAGGAAGACTAGGTTTGCCTGATACAAGTTAAAAAATCACTTGTCAATTCAGCACAAAAAGACATTCCTAAGGGTAAGTAGACATCACAGATTTACACAAGTTCTCCTCCAGGGCCTGGCTCTAATGTTTCATTTTGTGTTTACCGTTTAAAAGCCCGTCCTTCCTTCAAAGCAAATCCTTCATTGTTACTGTTCTATACGGTCAAATGAGGCCTCAGTAGCACTTTTGAACCCCTCCCTTGCTGTAGTTTACATAGGATATATTCCTGAATCTTCTCTGACATCATTTCCCATCTGTGTGGCCAGCTACATCTAGCTGATGACACCAACAGGTTACAATTCTAAAAGTATGTGTGTGCACAAGTCAAGTATTTGTCTGAATCTTTAGTGTTTTATGGCATGCAGGCACACATTAAGGCACAAATTGCTTGTGGTTAATTCCGGAGCATACCTGGGAACTCCCACGTCCTAGGAATTTTCAAGAGGAAACCATGCTGTGTTGAATGTGGGACTGAGTTTCTATAAGAAGATGATAAGTATGAGGCAGCCTGGAGGTCAGTAATCTACATGTGGCATTAAAAATGTTTGGTGAATTAGTACAATACAGCAGTGAGTGAGTGAGGAGAGACGAGACAGGTGAAAAGCAGGACCTAACAAGGAATATAAAACAATATACTGTATATTGCGTTGCTGCTGCACTGCATCTTCTTCACTGTAATAGCATGTGATGTGATGGCAAATGAGTGCATTCAGTTTCTCTATCTGACCAAAAACATACGTGTGAACAAAAAAATACATGTTGATTTGTTCATGAGGAGGTAACCGCGGAGTATTTCTGATAATAATGATGAAATTCTGTGCATATATTCATTACTCCATTTGTGCTTTTTAATGTGCAACCTGAGAACAGGGTTTAAAATGAGGATACCAGTGCAGAGCTGTAGTTTGACCTTTCAAATGATAAATGTAGTTTTTCATTGTATTCAAAGGTCACAAAGGTCAAGTTTTGATCAACTATCCATCCAGCACAGCCCACAAATGCATTCAGTTTAAATTATAAGAGCTGACTTGAACAAATAAAGTATAGTTGAAATTGACCAAATGCATATTGCAGCCTAAATGGTTCTGTAAGTAAAAATAGCAATTAACAAAAGGAATGTCCCCAGTGGGATTCAGATCTGTGGATATTCATATTACCAGTTGCCCTGTTACCCTTAAATCTATTTACATTGCACTCTCCAGTTGTGCCATTTCAAATAAACAACTCTCTGATTTAGTGATCCATATATACTTTAGTATAAAAATATGATCCAAGTTCATTAAAACACAATTATGTGGTATTTAAGCAAAAACATACAGTTACTACACTGAATGTAAATTTCATTTAAAAGTATTTACTAAACAAAGGAACACAAAAGTCGATCATTAGTACCTTGTATACCTCAAAAAAAAAAAAATAAAAAAATTGGGGGCGAGCAGTCGGTGTGATAATTTCAGCTATGTACAGTTCACTGTTTATACATCCATCAGCTATTCCACCTGTAGAGAATTGTCGGGGGCTAGAGCTGACAATCGCACATACAGTATGGTCAATTTAGAGTCACCAGTAACTCTAACCTGCATGTCTTTGGACTGTGGGAGGAAGCCAGAGAACACCCAGGCAGGCACAGGGAGAACATGCAAACTCCAGAAAGAAAAGGCCCCACTTGGCCACATGGCTTGAACCCAGAACCTTTTTGCTGTGAAGCGGAAGTGCTAACCATTGAGCCACTGTTTATACACTGTGATATAATTACAAACACAAGGTCTGTTTCTGGTGAGTGAATCCGATTCATGATGATTTTAGGAGGTTAGCTGGATAAGAAGTTGGGGATTACATATATATTATCCAAACTATGAAACATGCACATTTTCCCCATTTCCTTATTGACACTCCCTTATTTTCTGTGTTGCAAGTTCATTTTCTACTAAAGGCAGTATGACAACTAAGTACAGGAGTGGCATTTTCACAGGCACAGTAATCATTACAGATGAATGATACCACAAGGAAGTGTATTTAGTCTTCATCGATAACCAGATACTTGTCTAACTGAGAAAAACATCTACAAACTCCTCTTTTTGCCATTTAAAATGCCCGACTGGCCTGATCTTACTAAATTAAATAAGTACAGATGGCTGCATGCTTGTGTGTTTTCTTTGTCTTCAAAATAGAATCTTTTTCTCCCAAAATGCTTCTGATGATGACAATAGTCAAAGTAGTGGTTTAATTTATGAGGCTGTGAAGTTATTGCCACAACTTAAAAGTGTGCACATTGTCCCTGAATCTTAATCCAACTACATGTGTTATGCAGCCCAAACATAGTCAGTGAACTACAACAGAAGGCAAAAAAGCCTGACAGGAGAAACACAACATGAGTAATTGACAGAAAAGAAAATAACGAGAAGTCATTTTGAGGAACAAGGCTGCACTGAATGAGAAATTAAGAAACAGATCAAATTATTTATCTTGGTGTTATCCCTGGTACACCAGGGCACAGAATAAACGTCCGTGCATGTGTTTGGTGAAAAAGGCATTCAAGAGAGTTATAGTATTAACAAATCACAGGTGTGTGTTTGCGTTAGATCTGCATCATGGTGCATATATGCAGTGAAACTGTGCCAGTGGTCATTGTAGTCAGAACTTCTATCTTATTATACTTAAAGATTCGGCTTATTCTGAACTGTAAAAATACTATAGCTAGTACAGTTTGTGAACAAGTTGAGTAATACCATAATGATAATCTGTACCAAGTCTGACGCTATCTTGTTCAGAAGATAAAAGAATATGAAAGATATTACTCATTTCCGGTATCATTACAAACATAGTATGGCTTAGAAGACTCACAGTACAAGTAAATGATTATGTTAAGAAGCCTAGTAACACCACAGTCCTATCTGTGGGTATAAAAATGGGAAGAAACCTGCTGGAGGGCTGCTCCATGAATAACCATCACCACCCTTTCTTGATAGCCAACTGGGGACAAGCTGCCTTGCTTGAAAACTGCATCATTACTGTCTTAACATTGCTTCTGCTACAAAAATCATTTGGGTGTTGGTAACCGTGAAGGTATATGGCCCTTTTCTCTTTGACACCAGTATAAAAATCTACTTAAAAATATACCGCTGGAGTGGCAACTATCATCACCTTCCTTCCTCCTTTTAGGTCTTGTTCAATGGTCAGACTAGGGATAACCAAGGAGGTCACCTCAAAGATTTCAAATGAGCATTAAGAGTTTTTATCCAAAGGCTTGGTCAGAGATTGCACATACTGGTGCCTACAAAGGGGCTCAATCAATGGTACTTCACATCTTTGCATACAATACTTTTTTGTGTGGGAAGGTCCACACACTGGACTAGAGAGCGCTTTGTCAAACCAAGAGAATCATCAGTTTTTTGCTTGGGCTTAAACAGGATCTCTTGACCTCACTGACCAGAAGCCAGAGCTCATAGATTAGGGGGTGTTTAAGTGGTTCAATCCTAGAGAGCTCTTCTTCTATCTATGAAAAAAAAGAGCTAATTGATAGTGTATCTCTCCCGGTTATTCCTCCACAATTCTCAGTACATGTCTCTATAGATCTCCTGCAGGAGTGGGTGCAGTGAGGTGTCCTCTGTCTTTTTGATTTCCTGCACCAGCTGTGCGTGCTCGGTGACTAGCTGCCGGAGGTCAGCCAGTTTCTGAAGCAGCTTGGGGAAGAGGAATATGTTGTCAGGGTGATTGGCCAGCAGATGGAGGTGTAGGACCTGCACAATGTTCTCCTGCATTTGCTCAATGTGTGCCACATTCACCAGGCCTGGTCGGTCTAATCACAGAGAAAGGTAAAATAAAGTTGCATGATAGTATAGTATAGTATAAAATATTTAATGAGAATGTAGTACTAGAATATCTTTGCAATTTCTTCAATTTGTGTGATATGGACATATTTGAGTATAAATAGCAAAAAAGAAAAAATAAGACATAATAGTCCAGTCAGAAAATACAACCTGTTTTTTCCTGCTTTCTCACCTCCACAGCAGATGATAATGGCCACAAAGAGAGCCATGTCACTGTCGTCCAACTCAAGGGCGTTAAATTTCATGGCAAACTGGAACTTTGGCTCCATCATGTCACTGAACGGCCGCCGCAGGCTCTTGAGGAATTCTCGGGTGATGAAGCCTGAGCCGTATGCTACAAGAAGCCCGTCCTTATTCATACTGGAGGCAAGCATGGCAAAGAGGGCCTCGTGCACTCCGTATTTCAAAAGAGTCACCTGATCGTTGAGGTCCAGGCTTGAGAATCCAGGGACGGACTTTGCAAACTCAGTGAGCTCGGTGACAGTTTCCACTGATGTGCACTGGCAACAGTGGAAAATCCGAACTTCTGCCTCCCTGCCCTTCAACGCCCCCTCGGAGCTGACCATCTTGGCCACCAGCGTCTGCTCTGCCAGTTGGAGGGTCTCCATGTCATGGATGACGAAAGGCTGTGAATAGTCGAGAAATAAACACTCTTATGAGCTATATGTGTAAAATATGGCTAAAATAAGAGGGGAATTTATTTGACACCACGGTCCAGTTGACAAATGACAGATATATAGAGAATCCTGATAATGTCACTGGAGATACATAGGTATGCAAAGGTAAGCAGACACTAAGCTCTGACTAGCAGTGACTGACTCCAGTTAATAGGTGTTATTGCGTCACTGTTCCCACAGTGGAGAAGTTACAGCACCTGATGATTGGTTACACCTGCTGCTGCACATTATATCAGCGCTGTGACTCATGAATGCTGTGCTAAATGTGGGCTAAAGTAGCAAGGGAAGGTATGAGGGACATGCACCGAGCATTTAGATAATAATACAATGACGTATTTATCTCAGTTTCAAAATGTCCCTGAACAATGTTGCGCCAACACTGCTGTGACAGCCTAGTGCACATGCAGACTATGCACGTTAAATAGGTTTTTAAATAGATATACAGTATGCTGCATCTTTTTGGGTTCACTGTCTGAGCTGATGCTATGTGATCCTTTAGCTGCAAAGAAGGTGAAATTGTTTTCCTACTGTCACCGTAGCCTCGGAGCAGAGCTCAGTACCTCAGTGGGTAGAGAGAGGTATACAAAGCCCACAGCCCTAGTTGATTTAACATTTCATTGATGATATAATGACTCTCCACGACCCTGCAACTGCACTATTATGGATAGTCAATGTGAGTTGCAGCACAAAAGCATGTTTCTGGAGATATTAATACAGTTCATACTGAAAGCAGAGCCAGGGATGCTAAACTGATAACAGTACACTTTACTCGACAAACTGCAGCAACACGTTTGGGAAAACCAAGTGCTGAATTTCCTCATAGAAGTCAACAGGTATATTAGTTTAAGAAACCAAACTAACATTAAATTTCATAGTTCAGACATTTATCTAGTATTCGTATTCCTCCCAGATGTGGAGGCTGACAATTCAGACCTGACAAAAATGATTTGGCTCAGTTACAGGACCTACCTGGATCCACATAAGTTGTTCACAAAGCATATACTCCACAAAGGTGATTAACCATTTGATAGTTTTTATTAAGTTGAAACTAACTGATGTTTTGAAACAGTATCTTCAGGATCAAAAAACCTTTTATCTCCTGAATATTTATTTAAATTACTCTTAAAATAATGCAGGATGCAACAAGAAAAGAAGGGTGTGCACATGTACACAGTCATGCTATACATCTCACAAATTTCTGAATCAAAGTTATGCAACATGTAAGTATTTGTACAATGAGCTCTGGCAAATCATACGATGTAACATTCACCATTAACCAGGACTGAACTCTGACAGGTGGATCAAACAGTATGTGTATTTTCACCTGATCCCCAGAAGCGGTGGGAAAGGTCCGTGTTTGAATGTGGATGTGCACTTAGACTGACCTGTCCCTCCTGACCTATTTCACACCTACGCACATCCGTCCTTGGAATTCATAGCAACTCTGGTCTTTAGTTCCTGACCTCTTTTCTGATGGGAAAAAAGACACAAGGCTTTGTGGGGATGTTTGTGGTGAGAGTGGGTACGAGTGATAAAAAGATTGCAGTAACGGAGGGAAACGAGGTTTAGAGAGAAGTGATGGGCTCATACACTGGCTCTTTATATCACTTCTGTGCAAACAGATTTCCTTATCCAGTTTGTGCATTGGCTTCCACTACTGATTGAGCAAGGTATTTATGTCATTTGCTGGCTACACATAATCTCTGAGGTTCTGGCTGCCAGGTCATATTGAGACACTAGCTTGACTGCAAATTTTCTGTATGCTCAGGATGAGATTAAGATCACCCCAGCGGGGAAGAAATAAATTAAAGGTTGCAAGACAACATGGGCATGAACCTTGAGGAAACTCTCATAATGAAAGGAGCCATGTACAGGCAATCTGCATACACAACACTTTTCACTCACCAACCCACTACTTTTAATCAACGTACAGGGGTGCTGGTCTTGCCGGTGAGAACAGTCCGAGCCTTGGCCTTGTTCATGTTGAAATTCTTGAGGTAGGCCTCATAAATATGTCTGGCCAGTGTCTTCTGGTCAGCTAGCTGGGGGTCTTCCACCTCCCTGTCCCCTGTGACCATCTCAGCCTTCAGCTTTAGCTTCTCTGACTGGGGCATCCGACCAAAACGGATCGCTGTGGAAAGCAGAGAGAACAGACTGATTGAGATAACAGAAATGGTGCCAGTATAAATCTGAATTTTGCTAAGTTAAATACATGGTCGCAGAAAACAAAATGGATTTTACTGTAAATAAAGCAAAAACATTAACATTACATCTATTATGTTTATTGTGAACACACCAGGTGTGATGGAAGTGGGTATCAATTGTGTGAAGTGTGCTTCAACACTACAAGGAGGCTTGTTTTTCTACGATAATGCTGGCATCTCTCACATGGCCTGATCCCATTTGATTAATGAGATTAGAGGTGAACCATTTTCAACCCCTCCTCACCATTTTAAATGGGATAAAGCTGGTGCACACATGTACATGCACACACACCTTCTTCTGAGAAACCAACATCCAGCTGCACCAACAGCCTGCGTTTGAGACTATACAAGCATAAAAGGAGATCTCATTTCCCTGCGTTTCAACGAACACCCACCCACTGCTGAAACCAATCCAGGCATACTGAGCAGGACTGAGCAGCGATAAGACACTGAGCTAAAAGACAACACAAGGGCCCATTAGATTACTGCTCACAAAATAGATCGATCATCTGAAGCTGGTAAAGCTCAACAGTGGGCACCTGGGCAGGAGCCAATTTTTAGGAGTTAAGCTGAGCTAAGTCCATTTCCTAAGAGCTGGTATGAGGGGATGCGCCTGTGACTCAGATGGGGAGGGAGCTATAGTGGGAGGTGAACAGTCTGTTGTTCGGTTGAATCATTTGTTTCAGTGTCTGATTTGTGGAGAAGAAGAAGATTCCAGCTAATAAAACATCTCCTTCAGTATAACTTTTGTATAACCTTTGACTTATAATTTTTCTGTATCTGTCATGTTCTCATGATGTCAGTACATGAGATTTGAGGTGTTTTTAAGTTACTGGATTCAAGTAACTTCCAACCCTTTGTGTGTAATCATCTTTGCCCTTTAAGATTTTACATTTGAATTTGTGATTTTAACTTCTTACACAACATCTTCCCCTTTGGTAAATGGATTTCAAATTTCAAAACCTCTATTTATGGTTTTAATGAGGGGTTTGTTATTGTTCATTTCAATTTTAAAAAATGTATAAATACTAAAACACTTTTGTAAGGAACATGCAGAATGGTGAGGTTTAATTGTGAAATCAACTGGCGGTCAAAATGAATGAAGGAACACACACCTAAAATTAACAGTACTGTGGTAATGTGGTATCTTAAACCACCACACCTCAGAAAATCAGGTTGCACTACATCTCAAATCTCCTTCCTACAGTTACATTTAAGTCTATGCAGCTCAATGCACATACAGCATAAGAGGAACTGCAGCTGACAGATATACTACTGCTGCTGAGCTTTACAGCACCATCATCATAAATATGCATTAAGAAAGAACTGGGAGCACTAATATGTCAACAACCCCGTAAGACAAAATAAAGAGAATCCAGCATTTTCATCCACAAGGTCAGTGCCACCAGTATGGAATCTCTGCATGGTCACATGTAAACCCATCGGTTACATTGACCTTTTGGATCCTGTTAGAAGAAACACACTGACAGACCAGCAAAAACGAGTAGCTGCACACCCACACAAACACACATCATCTCTAAAATCTTTTTTTTAGATTTTTTTTTTCCAGACAAGACAGTGACCTTGGCCAGAGGTCAGCGTGCCATGTTGTATGTTAACATAGCACACACAGAGCAACAACATTCATTAGAAACTCATACTTTGACCTTAATATTCCTACAGTATATCCCAAACACAAAAGAGCAGCAGTGAAGATAAAATCGGGTGTATGATATATTTGATCTAGTAATTTAAAAGAGAAGAACTTCCATCTTATTTCAGAGTATTAAGGCCACTCTTCTTTTGAGCCATTTGAACTGTAATGGCATCAAAATAAGGTTGTAATGCAGAAGGGAAAACTCATAAGAGAATAGTCACAGGGTTAAGTTAAAAAGACTGAAGACCTAATGTGGTTCAGTGGGTAGAGCAGATGTTAAAGAGTACATTTCTGAGAGATAAACACCTGTATAGCAGCCTGGGTTAGTCTTCAGTTAGTGATGTGCCTTGACGCACAACTTAACACCAAAATGTGGTGTTAGAAGGCTCATTTGTGCTAATTATGTGCATGCATGCCTGTCTCTCTTGGCATGTGCACAGCTGTAGTACTCTGTTAAGTCCCATGTGTTTATAAGTAACAAGAGCCATGTGAGTGTGCTGCTGAGCTTGAAGCACTGCCAAGACCTGCCCTGTCCTTCAGAACTCACCGTTGTGGGACATTCCCACCAACAGGCACTTCTGGAAGCGGCAGTATTGGCACTTGTTGCGATTTTTCTTTTGGATCTTGCAGTGTCGCTCGCATTTGTCATATTCCAGCTTCAGACGGATGGTACGCCGAAAAAAACCCTGGAGTAAAGCAGAGAAAAGGCAAGAGGAATGTGAATTCTGCTCAGTTAATATTTTGACAATTATTTTCATTCATATGAATGAGACATTACCAACACTGATGAGATTACACAGGTAATATGTCAAACATTTCTAGACAAAACATTAAGACTAGTCCTGAAATGTAACAAAAGAAAAAAATAATTACAAAAGCAGTTATTTATTCCCATATGAACAGGATGTGACAATATCAGAACCATCGTTTCTCCATGATTACACAACCTTGACAAAAGAGAAACACTTAACCTTGGCAGGGAACAGACTGACCAAATGCCATGGCTGTGATTGGCTGGAGGGTAGAACATGTCCTAGGGAATTTCTTAATATCATATTTAGTCACACTTAATAGTAAACTGCAATTTCATACAAGACTGTCCCCCAGTGTGCCAAAATACACACAGACCCACACACAGTCTGAAAGACAGAAATGGTCATACAATACCAAGGAGTACACAGACATACAATCATGTGAGTACATGTTAAGTAACTCTGACTGTCTCTCACCCACTAACCCCAATCTGACACCTGCACATACACGTACTATATACGCAAGAGAGGCCAGCACATTACTGGAGGTCAAGCCAAATAGGCTGCATGCCAAGACTGCTTATGTCCACTGTCATAAAGGATCAGTGTAGTAACCTCACAGAGCAGCCTTCTACTATGCACATTTTATATATGCATGTGTGCATGCATGCACGAAAATGGTTGTGTTCCCCAAATTCAGGAACTAAATGGCTGAATTTCGTAGCTGGATTTGGAAAAACCTTTGAAATGCAAAAGGCCTTCAAATGGACATTGTTGGCACTTCATGGGGTACCTCTGATAAATGTACCTTTAATGACTCCCTCATAAACGCAGATGCTAAGCTAAACAAATTCTCGCCTTGACCTTCTTGATAACCCATTGTTCTACAGATTTACAACCGTACGACTTCACCCTTCATAGGTCACATAACTGTAAATATGCCCTGTGAACAGACCCCTGGCCTTAGGTTAGCAGAGTTATGTAGTAACATACATGGATAAACATCATATCCACAGCTGCAGGAATCAATCACTTTACTACTGCACACACTTAAACTTCATAGAGCTGCTCCTCTGATGTGAATGTGTATACAACATGTTGACATGATGGAGACACTGACTTTTTGTATCACTTCCTGACATTCATATTCCCACTGCTGTCTTGGCTGATACATTTAGCAGAACTTAGTGGTTACACAGTGCAAAGGGGAAGAAAAGTCTCTTGCTTTATTAGGTACTTTTCCTTCAGTGACAAACATAATTCCCTTAATTAACCCCGACCTCCGGCCCTCTACTAGAGGAATTAAAAACCACATGCATAACCACCTCAAATTCCACTATCTTTGTCCTTTGGTGCCTCTTATAAAAACACCCTTGGATTGTGCTTCAGCATGACTGGTAAACAATTAACTCAAAGATCATCTGTAATGGCTGAGCCTGGTTAATCCAATGTTTTTAGGAGTTGTCAAGGGTCACATGTCTTACATTCATAAGTGCTATACTTTCATTTGTGAATTATTGTCTTGAAATTGGCTAATGTGTTTTCAGAAAGCCGTTTGTGATTCTTAGCTTGTCTGTACTTGAGTGAGGGGGTAACTTTGGGCAAGTGACTGATGGATCTTTACAGAATTAGTAACTAAAGGAGAGAAAGTATAATAAGAATAACAAAGCTTAAGTTGAGAAGCTATGATGGACCATTTAAGGCAGAGGCATGTGTTCAATCTTCACAGTAATGCCATTTAACAACTGTAAATCCTGTTACTGAGTTACTAATCCTTACAGCGCTCTCTTCATCATCTAATGTGTAATCTAATGATATAACCATTTGATGGACTATAAATTACGTGGCTTCGTCTCACCTTGCAGCCCTCACAGGCATGGACCCCATAGTGGTAGCCTGAGGCACGGTCAGCACACACTCGACACTCCAGACTGAGGGATGAGGAGGAAGATGAGAACTCCTCCTGGCCCGCTGCCATCCCATACACAACTGATGAGGGGCTGGACGCTGGTGTCAGGGCATCTACAAAACACCAGCATATAGTGGTTATACATGCCATTGAACTAATTCCCTCACTAATGCACACATCTCACAAAAGCCACTACAGTGATAGCCAAAACATACAGGCAACCTGCAGCCAATTTTTATAATTGTGCACAAGGCAGATAAAAAAAAAAAAACAATACGTTAAGCACTTTAGTGCTAGACATGCTCTTTAGAAACCATGCATATTTCTCACAACATTAAAGATATGATAATATGATGTCAGAGTTGTGGGGCTGTGCCAGATGATTTGTGTAACTGACACACAGTGACTGGTCAGGTGTGTAGAGGTGAGACAGTATGCAGGATCTGAATTTCATTGCCATTCTCTTGTCCTCCATTGTTCACACCAACTAACTGCATCATTTTCAAGTGCAACATAATCAAGCCATGGAGGAGTGACTGACCAAAGGATGAACCACTTGTACTGTTCATCATGTGTCACCTCTCTTTATGATGGCAACCTTTTTGCCATTCCTTGTAGTGTGGCCATTCACAAACAGGTAAAAACTCATTTGCCTGAAGACCTGGTTGGATGATTCCCCAAGCTCAATTGTCATTTCTAGTGAAGTAACAAATCAGGTCATTATTTTGAGATAGCGTAAGGGACATAAAACGTTGCAACCATGGCTGCCTTTATGAAGTCTCATCTCCCTGTGGCAAAGAACTATTGGTATCTAAGGATGGTTTGACTCCTTTACTCCGACAAAAACAGTTTGTTCCATCACAGTGTCGTTTGTAGCGTGTTGCCCGTCACAAGCATAATGCGGTTGGAGTAGTATTACTGATGTTCCTCATGGAAGAACCGTCATGTGGTTTTACCATGGATTGCCAACAGTTTCTATTTCCACCTTGTGAAAGAAACATGGTTGGTAGAACGTGCTTGGTACACAAATAGCACAAGAAGTGATACAACAGCAAACAGTGGCACTAAGTCAAGCCACATGAGTTAGTCAAGAGATGCCAGAATGTGGATAAGCAGCATCTGGCAGCAGACCTGCAGCTTTCTTCTTTATGTCTGAGAATTACTCAGTGTGATGAATCAAGTCTCACATAGTGAGGACAAAACTGAATGTCTGCCTTCATACTCTCTAAACAGACAAAACAAATGCCATCCTAATTATATTTAGGTTTAGCCATAAATGTACACTCCAGGTGTCATCTATTCTACCCTTGCTACCTGTGACCTCCTTGTAAGGGAAAACACCCCAACATACTGTATCATAACAAAAAAACAACTTATTCTTATTTCCCAAGAAAGCAATATCTGTAACTTCTGTGACTATGTTAAGACACCATACAGAAGCCTTAACCCATCAGTACATAACATATCAGAACAATATTCAGCCAACATGTTCTGCCTGGTGCAAGGGGACATGTTTTACTTGTTTATATGTTTATTATGATCCTATTCACAGTTAACACTCCCTCCCTAACTTGTCCATGCCATCAACAAATGTTTCCATGATGGCACCTCCCTGTACTTCCCCCTCTTTCTCCTTTCCTTCCTTCTCCCTCACACACACACACCCTCTAAATCTTACATTAAAATGTCTATCTGTGATAGCTATTTGTGGCTTCACTTGATGCATAATTTATAGAAGCATGAATTTCCCAGATGTCTATGTGATTTCTATTGATTAGGAAAAATAACCACATAGTGGATGTTTCCTGAGAGGTGGTGCATGGCAGCTGAGGAATGTATGAATTCCTCACTGGATATTGTTAGGTTATTTCTTAGTTAGATAGATGTGGATAGAGATTTGTTGTCTAGGAATGTTTAGTGCAGACAGGGTGACTAGCTTGCTGTAACTATTCAGCCTGCAGGGATTGCAGGTACGCCAAGGTTACAGGAAAAGAGCTTTTAGGGTCAACTGTAATGCTAGTCTTAATATTTGTCTTAATGTGTAAGGTTATGTCCAATTGTTTAGATACACACCACGAAAACAACAGTCACGCACCTTGACTTTTCCTCATGTTTTGGCTAAACGATAGAGCAGCTGCAAAGCTTGCTTATCGGGTGGCGTCACGGTTTGACGCCCCTTGTAGCATGGGCTAGCCCAAAAATGATTAATATTATATAGGTTGTGGGGTCCAGACTGGCTCAGCTTTCTGCTGCCTGCGCGCAGGTAGAGGGGTGAGAGAGCTCTGGACGTGTCCTGTGAATTTTACCTGTGATCCTCTGAATAAACCAGCACAGTTATTTTTTATAAAATCTAAAGCAGTCTCTTTCGTCTCATTGAGAGCTCCTGGTTTGAAAGAACCGGAAGAAGCTACACAGAAATAATAGCTTATAATATGAAGCAATGACAAAGGCTAGTGGAGGGCAGAGAGGTTAAACAAGGGACTACAAAAAGAGGTAGGTGAGACAAGAAGGAAATACATAAAGAAAAGTCACAGGAAAATGCTTCAAGTCACACAGTAAACCAAAGACAGAGAAGGACAAACTGATCAAGATCAGGGGACTTGTCCACAGGCATGAAAAAAGTGGGTCAGACAATCTGAGTACAAAGGCCTGTCAGATGATTGGAGCACAGTATTAATGAATGTTAAGGCAAAGTGTAAATAAGCCAAAGTGTAAGTTGGAGCAAATTAGGGATTAAGGGGCCAAAATGAGGGACCCCTGCTCTGACAACAACAACATGGCAAAGAGATTACATAGAGCTGCTGGATACTATTAATGACTTAAAGAAATATTTCAATGACAATAACAGCTTTTCACCTAGGACAGTGGAACCTTCAGAGCCATTGCTGGAGGACTGGCATTCTGGTAAATCAAAGGAACTGAGCGCATCATTATCAATGGTCTGGGAGATGTCCTGTAGCTCCTCCATCCCTCCCATGAAGTCGTCATTACCGCACAGGGGACTGCCCAGCACTGAGTCCTCCAGGGGGGAAGGGGGGTGGTAGTGGCTCTCCATGTCGACCATCGTGGTGGAGGAGCGGGCTGCCGGTATTCTCACTCATCAGACTGGAGACACAGGAAGACAGAGGTCAAAGAGGTGATAGGAAACTCAGTCAGGCAGACAGAAGAGATAAAAATTCATTTCTATGGTCACCTCTGTATTCATTTCTAGAAACTATAGTTCATGTGCATGCTAGCTGCTCTGCAAGTGCTAACATGGGCATGCAAACATGCACACAATAACAGCACTAACATGCTAAAGTTTGTCAGGTATAATGTTGACCATGTTCACCATGTTAGTTTTGCATGATAGCATTTTAACATTTGCTAATTAAGGAATCACCAACATTGTCTGGAGCCATCCTCTGGGCACAATGCTGTCAGATTTCCAGGCAATCATTAAATGACTGCTGAAATAATTTGGCTTGGTCCAAAGTCCAAAGTGGTAAATTGACAGACTGAGAAACGTTGCCATTTTAAGCCCATGCTCCTATCATGGTGTAATGCTGACAGCATCATTATCTACATCAACACTGCAGAGTAATAATGGATATTCTTTCAATGCGCACGATTAAAAACAGCCCTGGTTAACGTAGGCCTGATGGGTAAAACAGATGCCACATGTAGCCATTCACTCCAACAGATGATACATACACATATAGTGAGGTCAGCAGGCAATGAAGTAATGAAAGACATGGAGTATCTTATAACACAATACCCCTGAGTTATTTACTTTAAATACAGTAAATGTGGAGGGATGAATGTAGGTCAGTGGGATGGCTCAGGCTGAGGGCAGCTGAGGTTGGCTTGAAGAAACATGACAGACTGGCTTCTATAGTACATGGGTGAGATTTTGCTGAATTGCGCAATGTGAACTGGGAGGACCTATGAGCTAAGAAGTGGGTTTGCCTTGTTGGCTTAGCTGAAGACTCAGAAACAGAATGCACCTCATATATTCAAACTTCATACAACTGCATGTAAACTGGGCAAATATATTAGAGGGAATTTTCTACATGAGTTTTAAGGTTTAACATCAAGAATCACAATGTAGTGAACATGATTTTATCATCAAGATTCACATCCCAAGACTAATCTGAATCTAAACAGTAAAGGTTTTGAAGATTGCCACCCGTTTAAAACACTGCTCCACATGAAAAGAAGCCTGGCATGTGAGCAAGCAGCTTTACTGAACTACAGACCCTACAACATAGTTGTAATTCTAAATGGAGCAGTGTTAGCCCTGCTAGGATAAAGCAAACCTCTTTAGCATTCAGCCTGCAGCTCCTGACCCTCAGGCCTTCCTGTAAAGGACATCCTGTTTGATACACTCACTTCACTCTACACTGTCTCATTATAATACAACTTTGAGGGGGAAAATAAAGAAGCTGCTTGGTTACAGCTTGGCTAACACCCATGCTGTTGCTGTCTATTCAGTGAACACTATCATTAATCCAATTCATTTATTGCTAAAATGAAATGAACTTGTGCCAGTAAAAACCATTTTTCTAAATCAGACACAGACAGTCCAGATATCAGTCAATAAAGTGGACTATATATACATGCATGACTTCCTGTTTATATAACACACATGACACCAGTCTTTTTCTGAACTCATGACCAACAACTATGAAGTGGTGGACCAAACTAAAATTGTGTTGGCACCAGCATACAACATGAGAATGTAAACACACAGTGCTGGTATGCAGACTGCAGAGGTTTGGGGACTGAGACAGAGAAAGACACAGAGACAAGAAGGTGTAGAGGAATGTCAGTTCAACTACATTAAGGTCTTTATCATCAAGACAGCAAGAGCAAAAAAGGCAGAGAGACAAAGAAACAGCAAGTGTTTGTCCCATAGGTCAAGACCCCTCTTGTACTCACTCAACCAAGCCCGCTGAGGGCACTGCACACTGAGTGGAAGATGAGCAAGGCCATATGTATTTGTGTGTGTGTTAGAGCTGGGGCTCACATCCAAAAGGGGAGGAGGGGGGTTTACACTGACAAGAGCCACCAAGGTCATCATGACGAGGCTGTGGCAATGCTGACACAGATCACACTTTAAATTTGACCACAGAGGGCAGGTAGGTATGTGCAAACAGCTACAACCTACCATGACTGGAATACAATCTCCCATTAAAATCAATAAATCCCATTATGGTTTGCTGTAAAAACAGGTTAAACATGTGTTAGAAAGTCTGTACCAGGCAGTCATCACAGGACTAGATGTGTGTGTGGAGCATAAATAGTCTACATAGTCTAAAGAATTTCTGCAGAGCATGGTCACCCAGCTCCCCACGTTACACTCCTCAGTCACAGTCAAGGCACACATCAGACAGAGAGACCATGATGCAGTTAGCAAGCTCCAAATGAGGCAGACAAACAAGCTCTTGATGTGAACCACGCATGTAGACAACGTCCTAGTCTCCCAACAGCCAAGGGTATAGGATAGCATGAAGTTAGTTTAGCCGTCTGAGATCTTTAACAAAATGTTCTACAAGTCAACTGCACTGCAGAGCTGAATGCATTCGCTCAGTAGTGATACCCATCACACTATTGGGGGTGGCTGTGGCTCACGAGGTAGGGCAGTCGTCTCCTGACCAGCAAGTTGGTGGTTTGACTCCCAGTCTCCCCGCATGCCTAAATGTCCCTGAGCAAGACACTGAATTCCGAATTGCTCCCGGCGGCTTGACTAGTGCTGTTGCGTGGCAGCCTGCCGTCATCAGTGTGTGAATGGTGTATGATCTCCTGTAAAGCGCTTTGGCCAGTGCAACACACTGTGAGAAAAGCGCTATATAAATACAGTCCATTTACGAGTGATTCTGGACATATATACAGTACATCCACACAATGAGTACAGCGGATTGCTGAGAGGATGCATTCACCCAGCCTCCATGACGTAAGTATTGTCTCTGGGGCAACCACCAAAGCTTCATGTTTTCCAAATCCAACAGGGACAAGGACGATAAACAGCAACAAAAAACTGATAGAGCATGAAGACAGAAAAGTCATTTAATGTTCAAATTCTCAAATTAGAATAACACCAACATTGCTACCAACTTATATAGTACAGTAAAACCCAATAACTTGACTAAACAAAACACTTCTGTCCTACCTTCCTCATCCAAAAACTTGCGTGCGACTCTAATCCCTGACATGACATCCAGCTCTGTCCAAGACTTTGTATGATCATTCAGTTTGTGTGTGTGTGTGAGACAGAGAAAGAGCAGACCCCAGGTTGATGTTTAATCAACCCCTCCTATGGTCTGAGCGCTGACAGGCCTGAAAGAAGA